TCTGCTGATCTATGACAAAGGGCTATAATCCATTAAATAGGGAAAAGAATGTTTGTTTAATAAATGGTGCTGACAAAATTGGATATCCATTTGCAGAAAAATGAAACAAGATCTGTACCTTGTACCATACACAAAAACTAACTCCAGATGGATCAAGACATAAATGTGAAACCTAAAACTATAAAGTTCCTCAAGGAAAAACTAGGGGCAAATTTTGGGGCCCTAATGTATGGCATAAATAGATTATCAAGCATAATCATAGATACACAAACGAAAGAGAAACTAGATGAATTGGACCTTTTAAAAATTAAACTTTATGTACTTCCAAAGACTTCTCCAAAAAAGTCCAAAGAGAACCTACAGATTGGGAAAAAATATTTGGCAATGACATCTGACAAGGGACTGATCTCTAGAATTTATAGAAAACTTCTACACCTCAACAGCAAAAAGACAAATAATCCAATTAAAAAATGGGCAGAAGGCATGAACAGACACTTCACCAAAGAGGATATTTGGCAGCCAACAAACATGAAAAAATGCTCACAATCATTAGCCACTATAGAGATGCAAATCAAAACAACCATCTTGTCCTAGCACTAGTACCAAAGCTCAACAAGACAGAAAATAACAAATGCTGGCAAGGAGGCGGAGAGATTGGGACTCTCATACATTGCTGGTGGGACTGTCAAATGATACAACCACTGTGGAAAGCAGTATGGCGATTCCTTAAGAAGTTGGAATTAGAAATACCACTTGACCTAGCCATTCCATTACTAGCTATATACCCTAAAGACCAGCCACTCCTCAGAAGGAAGGTTGGGCAACCTACTTCCATAGTGATAAAGCCTTGGGAAACCCAAGGCTGGGTTGCTATGAGTCAGGTTTGACTCAACAGCAGTGAGTTTATCCTAAAGAAGTGAGAGCCAGGACAAAAACAGATATATGCACACCCATGTTCATCACAGCACTATTTACAATAGCCAAAAGATGCAAACAACTAGGTGTCCATCAACTGAAGAATGGATAACCAAAACTATGGTACATACAAACAATGGAATACTATGCAACCCTAAAGAATACAGAATCTGCAAAATACCACATAACATGGACGAACTTGGAGGACATTATGCTGAGTGAAATAAGTCAATCACAGAAGGACAAATACTGTATCAGTCCATTATTGTAAAATGTCAAGGAAAGGTTTCTATATGGAAAGAAATTGTTCGTTACCAGGGGAGGGAGAGGAGAGGAGGGGAGAGAACACTGTTAGATAGGTACAGACAGGTATTGATTTGGGTGAAGAGAAGGGCAATGTACCAAATGTGAGTGATCAACATGGTGGCACTGAGGACGAGGAAAACATAAAGAGGTACACAGAGGTACAGACAACAAAAATGAACCCTTCTGTATATACAGTACTGTGTTGTCAGTGAAGGCAAACACGGATATACAGGTAGATAGATGGGTAGAGAGGCTGAACTATTAGGTATATCTATGCAGGGGGAAGTGTGCCCAAGACCATATATAGGGTTGGCAGACAATGTTTCTACAAGTATATTGCTATGTTCTGTAAGCATTCCTAGGTATATAGTAGAGCTGATAAGGGACAAGGTTGTAGTCACTTCTTGGCCACAGCCAGCTACCCAGAGGGAGCGAGTAGTTGGACCTGTGGGCTCAGGACCACAGGGGTCCCACAGGGTCGCAGGGAACCTAAGCTCAATTGGCATAACATACTACATAAAAACACTGTTCTACATCCTAGTTTGGTGAGTAATGACTGAGATCTTAAAAGCTTGCAAACGGCCATCTAGATGCAATGATGGGCTTCTCCTCGTCCACAGCAAAGAAGAATGAAGAAAACCAAAGATTCATGGCAACAATTAGTCCAAGCGTCTGGTACACCATGCGATCTGAAGCCTATACGGCTATGAGACCAGAAGAACTAGATGGTGCCCAGCTACCACTATACACAACTTGGAGGGGGATCTATGTAGGAGATCCTGTATAGAGTGGGAGAACAATGTGGAACAAAACTCAAAATCATTTAAAAAAAAAAAAAGGACCAGGTTTGCTGGTCTGATAGAACCTGATGGAACCACTGAAGACTATGGCTCCTAGATGCCCTTCAGGTCTGGAACTGAACTCACTCCTGTGGCTTCCAGCCAAACAAAAGACAGCCATATGAGGTGAACATTTACACTAGGTAGATATACTCCTTGGAGAGAACAATCATGGGAGAATAGAAACATTGTATATACACAGGGAGACAGCTCAGGGGGCCAGAGTACATGGAGACACAGACACAGGGAGGAGGTAATTATGAGAAGGAAGTTGGAGGGGAGTTGCAGCACTGTGGTAAATTGTAGTTGATGTCATCCGATAATGTGTCTGTGAGCTGCTATATGGAAAGTGAATTTGCTCTGTAAACTTTCACTCAAATCACATTAAAAAAAATTAATTGATACATATAGAAGCAATGAGGGAAACAGAAAATCACCATCAGAACACCATAGTAATAAAACTGCTTTAGCCCAGACCCACTGATGGACGTTAAAATTAATGGGTAAACAGTTTAAGAAGAATCAAGGAAACATGCATAGTCTCAAAATTACCTCTCCAAAATTATTTAGTAATTAAAAAGGGAAAAATAGGAACTGAAAGTAAAAATATTCACAAGTACACAATCAATATAAATAAATGACAGAATCAACAAAAAAGGGAGAGAGAAATTTTCCTTATAGAACTCCAAATAAAATGTGTAGATACTCCCCCCGTTCAAGAAATGGTATTTAAGCCCCCTGCCCCTTGGGCTGGACTTAGTGACTGCTTCCAAAGAATAGAATATGTTAAGCGAAAGAAAAATAGCAACTTTACAGACAATCCTGGCAGATACCTTAACAAAGTGAACCCGTGAGCATCACCAATGATAAGTCATATGATATCTGGTACCTTGTACCCCACAGAGTGATGGGATGGGAAAGGCATACTATCTCTGGGGTTTTCTTCCCCAGGATATACAAACCTAATTTAATCATGAGAAAGATAAAACCCACTCAAACTCAAACTGGGGGACACACTATAAAATATCTGGCCAGTACAATTCAAAAGTATCCAGATGACAAGAGACTAGGAAGGATAAAGAACTATCACTGACCAGAGGAGACTAAGGAGACATGATAAGTAAATGCCATGTGGGATCCTGAACTGGATCCTGGGACAGAGAAAAGACATTACTGGGAAAACTAGTGAAACATGAATAAATTCTATAACATAGTTAATGAAGGATATTCAAGAACTCTGGTACAGCTATCTTTATAACTCTTCAGAAAGTCAAAATTCTTTCAAAATAAAGGATAACCAACAACAACAAAACAAAAAAAAAGTGTCTAAACATACATTTGAATCAGTACCTCAACACATTTGTGTTTATTCATGTAAGAGTTCCATTCAACTTATTTCCATACCCTCAATAACAACAATAGTTAATAGCGACATTGCTACTTTTTTGAAAGGTGGAATAAATAAGGTAAAGCTGTATTTTTTATTCTCAGAGAGCACTAAAGATGTAATTGAAATAACATACATTACAAATGTAATAATGGGGGGGAGAGGAAAGGTTAAACTTATCGTGAGTTTACTAGCTGCACTGCTCAAGTGTTTTTGATGTATTAAGTTGTTTAATCTTCTCAACAATCCTTTGGAACAGGGACTATTACAAACTGCATTTCAGAAATGAAGAAACTAAGATACAAAGAAGTTAAAGACTTTGCTTAAAGTTGCAGTGATAGGTGGAGCAGCTAAAATTCTACCCAGTGTCTTGGCCACAGAGCAGATGCCTTCTCCAGAGTGGTGCTGAATGTTGTTTTAGGGTCTACGGGTGCTACTGCCCACTAGTACAGACATGGTTTGAAAGTAAAGGAGTTGTGCTGTGCTATGTGAGAGCCTGGGGAAGTCCATGGCTCACTGGTAGCAGGTCCTGACATGCTCTGTAAGGAAAGGAGACCTTCTCTCAAATCATTAAGTATATGATTCAGTTAAGTTTTGCCTTATTTTGATTAACTGGAATTACCTGAGTGACATTCCACTTAATAAATTAAAAAAAAAAAAAAAAAAAGACAAACCCACTGCCATTGAGTCAATTCCAACTCACACCAACCCCCACTGGTTTTCCAAGGAGGTAAATCTTTACAGCGGTAGATTGCCCCATATTTTCTTTGCAGAGTAGCTGGTAAGTTTGATCCTCCAACCTTCTGGTTAGCAGTCAAATGTCTCAGGCACTGTGCCACCAGAGTGCCTTCATTTCACTTATAAGAGGAAAATTCCTCAACAAAAACTTACCTTAAGGTGGTTTAAATACTAGTAAAACTACTTTTGATGAGAGATTAAAATCAACATACATTTGGCTGCAATGCATTTTTATTAAGAAAAGAATTACTACTCATAAATTCTTCCTCCATATACCCTTCAAAATCTTCGATAATTTAAAAATAAACTATATTTAAATTATACAATATTTTACATGCCATATACATTTATCAAATATGCCTACTACATATATATACTTCTTATTGTTGTTAGGTGCTGTCGAGTCGGACCCAACTCATAGCGACCCCTCCTTGCGTTTCTGAGGCAGTATTACTACAGAAGTAGATTGCTCCATCTTCCTTCCGAGGGGTGGCTGGTGGGTTTGAACCGCCAGCCTTGTGGTTAGCAATCAAATGCCTTAGCCACTATGCTACCGAGTATATTATGTTAAATGGTCTTTATTTTAATAATATATATAAACATAGGATTAAGATAAATTACACAGGCAATATGGTTCCACTGAGTATAAACTTTGCCTATCTTATACAGAATACATATTTGAAATGGCAAATACAGTATCTGGAAGAACTCTCAACAAAGATGCCACCCAACCTACCCTGACTTACTACAAATGCACTGGTAGTTCTGAGGTTGCTGGGTTCCACTCCCCGCACAAAGCATGACCCAGCACGTACCGTAAGACACAGCAGAGCACCATGAGGTGAGTGGGCACATTTGCTGGATTAAGCATGGCTGGTGTGTCTGATCGCATGCAGGCCAGGAAGGCTCGCATCCTGCGGTTCTTATCCTCAACTGCCTTCCCCAGCCACAGTCTCTTCAGGTTAGGGCAGGTCCATTCCCTGAATGCAAGTGCTTCCACCAGTTCAGGGGTCTGAGGAGACTTTCCTTTGTAAGCTGCCCATTCTTTAATTATCACTGGTGAAACTACAGAAAGGAAAAATCAGAGGAAAAAAATCATTTATTTACCACATTTCACCTACTTAAAGCCTTAACCAAAATAAACCGCTCTAATAATTAGTCTGAAGATTTCACCTCTCATATAATAGTGCATTTTAGTTAGCAGGCTGCCAATCATAAAGCTCTACTTTTTAACCTGTTTTGTTTGCATAAATTACTTTATGTAATTTAATGAATCATTCACAATTCCAGTTACACTAGAGATTTCATCTCAAGTAAACCATGATTTGATTTTCCTATATAATATGTATAAATCAAGACTGTCAGCCAAAATTTAGTATTTTAAATCTATTAATAATTTTAATAAGAGCAACTGATGTAATTCACAGATGTATGTAATCCATCTGATTATTTTAACATGAAAAATCCAATTTAAATAGCTCATGGCTTTTCCTACGTATACACTTTCACTAATTAGATTTAAGAAATTATTTATATTTGGTAGCTATTTTACTTAAGGACCTACTACATCAACATACCACCACTTGTCTGATAGGTTGTCATACTGTGGTGTGGTGGTATATGTGTTGCTGTGATGCTAGAAATTATACCAACGGTATTTCAAATACCAGCAGGGTCACCCAAGGTGGACAGGATTCAGCAGAGTTTCAAGACTAAGACAGACTAGGAAGAAGTACGTGGTGGTCTAATTCTGAAGAAAGTGGCTACTAAAAACCTTACAAATAGAAGAACACTGTCTGATACAGTGTCAGAAGGTTGGAAGGCACTGAAAATACAACTAGGCAAGAACTGCTTCCTCAAAGTAGAGTCAACCTTCATGAAATGAAGGGAGTAAAGCTTTTGGGAACTTCATTTGCTGATTTAAGTATGACTCAAAATGAGAAGAAATAGCTGCAAACACGCATTAATCATCAGAACAAGGAATGTAGGAAATGTGAATGTAGGAAAATTGAAAGTTGTTAAAAATGAAATGGAACACTTAAAGTTGATACCTAGGCATTAAGTGAGCTAAAATGGACTGGTATTTGCCATTCTGAATCAGACAGTCATATGGTCTACTATGTTAGGAACGACAAATTGAAGAGTAATGGGTATCACATTCATCATCAAAAAGAACATTTCAGGAACTATCCTGAAGGACAATAATGTAAAGGATAGGATAATATCCATACATATACAAAGAAGACCATTTAATATGACTATTATTCAAATTTATGCACCAACGACTAAAAGGCAAGATGAAGAAACAAAGATTTTTACCAACTTCTACACTCTGAAATTAATCAAACACACAATCAAGATGCACTGATAATTACTAGTGATTGGAATCCAAAAGTTGGAAACAAAGACATGGCATCGGTAGTTGGAAAATATGCCCTTGGTGAAAGAAATGATACCAGAGATTGCATGACAGAATTTTCCAAAACGGCAACTCCTTTACTGTAAATACCTTTTTTCAATATAAATGGCAACTATACATATGGAACTTGCCAGATGGATTACACAGGAATCAAATTGACTCGATCTGGGGAAAGAGGCAATGAAACAGCTCAATGTCATCAGTCAGAACAAGGACAGGGGCCCAAGATAGAACAGATCCATACTTCCTCATATAGAAGTTCATGTTTAAGGTGAAGAAAATTAAAACAAGTCCATAAAAGCCAAAATACGACCTGAATTTAGAAACTATCTGAAGAACAGATTTGATGCACTGAACACAAATGACTAAAGATTACACGAGTTGTGGAAGGACATCATACACGATGAAAGCAAAATTATTAAAAAGACAAGGAAAGAAAGACATGATGCCAGAACTTGCTATTGAATGCAGAGCAGCTAAAGTGAACAGAACAAATGATGAAGTTAAAGAGCTGAACAGAAGATATCAAAGGGTGGCTCAAAAAAGACAAAAGTAAAGTACTGTAATGAAACCCGTAAGAATTGGATTTAGAAAACCAAAAAGGAAGAATACACCTGGGGTTTCCCAAGCCAAAAGAAAAATTCAATCAGTTAGTTGCATACTGAAGGATGCTAATGGGCAAGTACTGAATGACACAGAAAGCATCAAAGGAAGATGGAAGGAATACAAAGTCACTGTACTAAAAAAGAACTGGCTGATGTGCAACCATTTCAGAGAGTAGCATATGATCAAGAATAGATGGTAATGAAAGAAAATTGCCAAACTACAAAGGAATTGGCAAAAAAAACAAAGCTCCAAGCACTGACAGAACATCTATTGAGATGTTTCAACAAACAGATGCAATGCTTGAAGAACTTACTTGTCTATGCCAAGAAATTTGGAAGGCAGGTACCTGACCAACTGACTGGAAAAGATCCATATTCGTACCCATTCACAAAGAAATGTGATCCAAAAGAATGAAGAAATTATCAAACAATAAATACCACAAGGAAATAAAATTTTATTAAAAATAAATAAATAAAACCACTTCAGCAGTACAAAGTTAGGGAACTGCCAAATATTCAAGCTGGACTCAGAAGAGCACGTGGAACAAGGGATATCATTGCTGATATCAGATGGATCCTGGCTGAAAGCAAAGAATACCAGGAAGATGTTTACTTGTTTTATTGAATATGCAAAGACATTTAACTGTGTGGAGCATAACAAATTATCGATAACATTGTGAAGAACAGAAATGCCAGAACACTTGATTGTGCTTATAAAGAACCAGGGGCAGTCGTTCGAACAGAGCAAGGGCATGTTTTATGGTTTAAAATCAGCAAAGTTGTTTGTCAGGACTGTATCTTTTCCTCATACTTATTCAATCTGTATGCTGAGCAAATAACCTGAGAATTTGGACTATATGAAGAATGTGGCATCAAGACAAGAGGAAGACTCATTAACAAACTGTGATAGGCAGATGATACAACCTTTCTTGCTCAAAGTGAAGAGAACTTGAAGCACTTACTGATGTAGATCAAAAACTATACTGGTAAGTATGCATTGCCATTATATCCCAACATATAAAAGCAAAAATCCTCACAACAATAAGTAACATCATGATAAACGGAGAAAAGACTAAATTTATCAAGTGGTTGTTTATTGTTGTTGTGTTGTTATGTGCCATCAAGTCGGACCCGACTCACAGTGACCCCTCCTTGGGTTTCCGAGGCAGTATCACTACAGAAGTAGATCTCCCAACCTTCCTTCTGAGGAGTGGCTGGTAGGTTTGAACCGCCAGCCTTCTGGTTAGCAGTTATCAAGGATTACATTTTACTTGGATCCACAATCAACACCCATGGAAGCAGCAGTCAAAAAAATCAAACGACGTACTGCATTGGGCAAATCTGCAAAAGACCTCTTTAAAATGTTAAAGAACAAAGATGTTACTTTGAAGATAAAGGTAAGCCAGGGTATTTTGTCACTTCATAGGCATGCAAAAGTTGGATGGTGAATAAAGAAAAATTGATGCATTTGAATCACGGTGTTGGTGAAGAATATACCATGGCCTGCCAAGAACAAACCAATCTGCCTTGGATGAAGTACAGCCGGAATGCTCTTTAGAAGCAAGGCGAGTGAGGCTTCTCCCTTTGGTCATGTTGTTAGGAGGGACCAATCCCTGGAGAAGATATCATGCTTGGTAGAAGGTCAGCAAAAACAACAAGACCCTCAACAAGATGGACTGACACAGTGGCTGCAACAGTGGGCTTAGCCATGGCAATGATTGTGAGGATGATAAAGGACCAAGCAGCGATTCGAAATGTTGCACATAAGGTCACTATGTGTCGGAAACGACTCAACCGTACCAAACAACAATCTGAACGTAACTCTATTTAAAAGAATGGTACTATATGAGGACATATGAAAGGCCCACTAATACAAGTAGAAAGAATGTTCTAAGTTTTGAAATCCTAGATGACACCAACATACAGTAATTATATTCATCAAAACTTAAGACACAGCGTAAATTTTTCTGACATTTTACTTCAAAAAACAAGTAAGAAGTTCTAAGTTCATGTATTACAAAAACAATGTCCTTGTACCCATAACGATGGTAACACTATTAGAGTTAATATGTTCTTACAAATACTTCAGCATGTACATTTTCCCACATCTCTAAATAAATTCAGGAAAACTTAACATCAGTATGTTAAGATTTCTCATAAACTGCATTGATTTAACAATCTGATGATCAAACTTAGGTATACAGTTCATAAGTAATCAATAGCTTACTTGAGTTCAATAAACATAGAACCAAAACAGGAACCTGAGTGATCCCTAGCCCACTCAGCTGCTGGACACAGGCCCAAAGCCCCAAACCATCCAATAGCATAACCACACAGCCCTTTCCAGGTCAGGGTGCTGGCAAAGAGTTCTGATTGATCTTCAACACACTGTTTCTATCCAAATAATATTTATTCAACTAAGTTCAATTTCCCTAAAGTTATGGCTGTGGCAGTTGAGAGATTCTGCAGAATCCAAAATCTTGATAAAGGCTGAATGAATGACTAGTTCCACCTCTAGTCTAAGCATAGCTATGTAATATAGTGATCTCTTAAAATGAAAAACATCAACAGTTAGTTATCTGTCTATAGCTTGTCACCAACAGAAAAAAAAATACTCAAGCACATTTCTGTATCCTACAACAGACTGTTTCAAAGATAAAGGAGTTTAATAGCCCCATATATATAAATGTGTCACATATACACACCATTGACCACAGCATTGTTGAAGGCACTGAGATCAGGTCATTTTGGAGGGTTAATTGTAAATGTTGCCACTTCACATGAAGCAGACTCTTTGAACAGATATACAAATCAAGACAGTTACTAAAAATTTTCCTTATTAAAAAAGTTAATTTTATCATTAGGAAAATTCTCTTCATTTACATTTAAGTATCTTTGTGTTTAAATGTTAAGACAAATTTAAAGATGTAGCATTGGAACTCCCTGATAAGGAATTCAAAAGAATTATATTTAGGTACCTGCAAAGGATTGAGAGACAGATAAAGAAAAACAAAGACAAAACCCTAGAAGAATTTAACACT